GGTCTGGGCACCCCCCGAGCCCTGCTGCAAGAGGCTGCTCTCCTCCTCTGTCAGGTACTCCATGGACTGCTGGGAGCTAAGCCGTGGCCGGGCGGCTGCTCGATAGCTCTCCCCCTTCTGCTTGTCCTCCCAGGACTTGAGGGTGCTTTCAAACGCCTGCGGGGATGGAGATGGCCCCCTTCAGCCTGTCACACCTCCCCATGCCCCAGCACAGCCTCACTGTGTGGGCTGTGCAGCCCTGAGCTCACCCGGTCCCTTGTAAGCATCTGGGCTCGGTTCTTGTGCTGGATCTTGATGATGCCAGGTGGCTGGATCCAGGCTTCTCCATCCACCTGCACGGGGACACCCTCATCCCCCCGGATGGTGATCTTCACTACACGGCACTATGGGGCAGACAGCCTGGGGTTGGCATCACAGCTGGCCAGTGGCTTCAGCTGCTGTGCTGGGGCTGAAAAGTCTCCCAGTGCCAGTCAGGTGCCCAGCAGAGCTGCACTGCCACAGGCTCTGCTGGTGCCCCAACAGCTTTCTGGCACCATGCAGGGTCCCTTGCCCATACCTGTGCGATGCGGTGATGCTGGAGGTTGATGACCCGTGACACAGCCATCTGGATGCTGCCGAAGACAGCCACCACCTCCAGTTTCTTGTCATCGAAGGATGGAGCCCCGAAGTTCTGTAGAAGACCAGTACAAGTGAGACCTCCAAACCAGGCTCATTTTGTGATCCAACTTTTCCTCCCGTGTGTACCCAAGGCAGGGATACCCTTGACACTTGCCCAAGGGCTCCCAGTTTCCCTGGGACCATGGGAAGGAGGTTGTGCCCCCCTTTCCACCCCGTGGTGCTGGCACTCACATTATCCTCCTTGGTGCCTCCCCAGAAGTTGATGCCCCCAGCGTAGCTGGGGATGTTGAGGACAGCAATGCCCTGCAGGCTGGGCAGCGAGATGGGCACCCCATCACACTGCAAGAGAGAGCTGAGCCTGGGGGGGGGGTCACCACACCAGTGCCCCCTCACCCCATTCCTGTTCCCACTGGCCCCGTACCTCCAGCTGCACCCGCTGCTCTAGGTTCTTGTAGGTACGCTGCAGCAGCTCCTTTGTGCCCAGCACCCCGTACCACATCATGTTCTTGGTGCGGCTGCTGCAGGGTGAAGCAGGCTGGGTGAGATGGGCTGAGGGCTCCCTGCTGCCTGCCACAGGCTCTGCGTCCTCCTGGGGCACTGGGCCAGGCCACTGGCCCTGCGCCTGCCTCAGTTGCCTCCTCCCAGAACAGCGGGGCTGCCCACTGGCTCCTGGGAGATGCGGGCTGCAGCATGTGGCACCCAGACATGCACCCTTCCACGTCGGCACAGCAATGCCTCCTCTGTCCAGATACGGAGTGTGTAAATCCCACCAATCCCTCCTGTGCCCGTTCACACACCTGGGGGGCATTGGCAGCCAGAGCCTCACAGCAGCTCTCGCCCTTCCTGGGGGCATTTGCAATCTGCTGTGCACCCAGGGGTGCTCACCCCAGCATTGTGGCACTGGGAGCAGGTGGAAAACCTGCTGCAGAAAGTTACAGCAGCCCCAAGCTGACCCCGTGGTTCCCAGCATCCTGATGGTCACTACTGGTGCAGGCGTTGGAGAGCTGGGGAAGAATACAAGTTTTTCCTGGGGGAATATGGGAGGTTTCAGCCAACCTGCACTTCTTTGGGTGCTCATCCCGCTTGTTGTTGAACTCCAGAGAGATCTTCGCATCCAGGCCAATGCCAAAGTAGTTATTCATGACGCATTTCTCTGAGAAGTGCCTGAAAGCAACAGACAGGGCAGGTGGGTTGGGAGGCAGCTGCAGATGGGCAGCTGCTAGGCTGGCATCGGGGACAGGGCAGAAAACCCCTTGGAGCTGCAGTGTGAGCTCCCAGGGGTCTGGCATTGGGAAGCCTGACCCGAGCCAGCAGGGATGGCTGGAGCTGCCTCACTCTCCACGGTGGAACAACCGTGGCACACCCAGGACCTGCCTGCACTGGGCAGTGGCAAGGATCCCCAAGCTCCCAGCAAGAGATCCTGCATTGGGCACATGCAGGCTTCCCCAGCACAGGCACCAATAGGCCAGGGAGGGCTGAGCACCAGGGATGCCACGCTGGCAGAGGATGCCCCAACAGTCATCTCCAAGAGGCAGTGTGGTCCAGCTCTGCTCTCACTCCCTGATGGGCAGTAAGGGCAGAGGCCCAGGGT